AGGACGTCCCTGGAGCAAAAAGGACGAGCCTTGCCCTGGTGCAAACTCTGCACAAATGCCTTCCCAGCCAGGAAACAGCCAGAGACCATAGAACACATATTTCTGCAATGCCCGGGAGCACTCTGGATATGGAGATGGTGGGATCGAATCTGGGACCAACTAGGGACAAACGCCTCTTGGCCCTGGGATTGGAGGGCCCTGTTGTGTGAAGCATGGCCCGGAAATCAAGCAAATCCCCCAAATGAATTTACGGAAAAKCTGTTTAMATTGGGAAGAAGGGCYGTGCTCTGGGCATTGTGGAGAASAAGATGCACATATGAGATGGAAGGAGTGAGATTGGAAGGACCTGAATTTATAGAAAGCATACAACAACAGATCCAAATCGAAATAACAGCAAAATGGGAGGAACTCAGATCACGCATAAGCTCGCTAGACAGAAAAAAGGACATTGAACAAAAACTCCAACAATTCTCTTCAAGCTGGCTGGGGGGGACCACCGGTGGCAAGATAGGGAAGGTGGAATGGGGAGGGATACAAAGGGGGGATGAAGAGGGCCAGGAGAGCTTGGGAACAGTCAGGGATTACAGATTGGTATTCTACAATTGGACTGAGATTGATACAGCAATCCCGCTGAAGCCCGCAGAGAACTTCCCAGAAATGTTCCCCCCCCCGTCAAACTGCATCGTTGAAATGAGTTGGTATGGAATGGATGGGTGACCAAGATGGCTACTGTAATGGAAGGCAGTGAGGAAGCCAGGTAGTCAGGACTGTTTTGGCGCCCGGCACCAGGGTGAAGAGGCTTCTCAGTGAAAAAGGGGGTTGCATGCACCAAGGACGGCCCTTCAGCTATTGTAGGAACATAACGGTCTTTGTCCTGGGTGGGGCTAGGTCCAACAGAAGAGGGTATCAATGATTGGGTGGGGAAAAAAGCAACCCCGGGGGAAGAGCGATACTCTGGAATGGAAGTTTAGCTGGCCGAAAGCCCAAAAACAAAGGGAGGAATAAAAAACAAAACCTGCACAGGGACATCTCGCCCTCCCAGAGATGATTAGGAGCAAATAGCAAGGAAACTAAATAGATCCAGGCCTTCATAGTTCAATCTGGCGCCCTGTTTTGAGGGTGAAGAGGATTCCATTTAGAACTGCTCAGTCAATCCCCTGGGTAGCAGGGCAATCAATGCTGGCAGATCTCATTGTTACTACTTGTTCTCAGTCTGTACATGGGACGCTGGACCCGCTTTCCAGCAGGTGATGCTCCCCACCAATAGATGAAGCCTCCCTCCTGGTGGTAGTGGTGCCTGCTCTTATCAGCAGCACTAACACCAGAAGTGGAACGTTTCTCAAAAAAAAAAAAAAAAAAAAAAAAAAGACAAAAACCCAAAAAACAAGTCACACATCGTAATATACTTGGCTAGTGGGTCGAGGCCCCTGACCTCGAACTTCACTGAGAGTAGATGACTGAGGCCTGGACCCCACAGGGAAAAATCGTGGAAAAACACCCTGGAAAAACTTTTCCTGGACTCCACGGAAAGCCAATTTTTTAAGGATGGGGTGGTTTTCCCGGGCCCCACCGCCTGGAAAACGCTTGCCGGAAAACCGACATTTTGCGTTTTCACATGAGTTTCCGGTTGGAAAAGTGGCACGGGAGGACTTTCCGCCAAAATTTTGTGCCATTTCCAGAAGTTAAGGGGGGGCCATGTCCTTCCTTGGAAACTCGTCGCCAATGCCGCAGGTCCATCCATGGTCTGGGCAGAGACGTCCAGTGGCTTCTTGGTGAAGTGGAAAGACATGTGAGAGAGGTGCACTGCCCTTGAAACGGACATCTGCAGCCTCTCCTGGTCCCTCACAACTTTTCCAGCCTTTCCACCCGGAAAAGCTGCCTTTTCCAGCCTCGGCCGTGGGGTCCCGACTTTTTCAGAAAAAAACTCTTCCAGAGGTCCTTTCTCAGAATTCCGAGAATGAACACTTTCCTGTGGGGTCCAGGCCTACAATACAACATTGCATGGTATCCGGGATCCTCAAGGGGGTTAGTAAAACAGGCCTACAAAAACATCAGGTCCCTGTCAATTAAGTACCTATGGAAGGGTACAAACGAGGAAGAAACGGGCTATCTAGCCAAGGTCGCAAGGCACAAAGTCATTGAAGGGAAGGAGGAGGGAGGGCTTTGGACCCAGAATCCCAGATGGGTGGTTAAATTGTTGGGGGAAAAAAGCTCACACCCATGGGTTGATCTGGCTGTCTAGAGGAGTGGCGACTGGCTAGAAGGGAGGATGTGTTTGTGGCACTCTTGATACCATCCTTTGTTACGGATCATATTGGCTCCCCTATCTGGAAGGGTATCCTGCAGGCCTGGAGCCAGGTCATGCCATCCACTTTGAAAGCACCTGAAACAAGGGCGGAAATCTTAGACCAGCGTATCTTTGAAAACCCCCTATTGGTGGACCAAACAGGCCTCCCATGGTCCGCAGTGGACCAACCTGGCCATTTTGGCCATGCTTGGATTCAAAGGGGAATCTCACGGACCGTGGACCTCTGGGACGCTGAACTGTGACAATGGAGGTCCCCGCTGGAGCCGAAATTGAGACTGCATCACCTGCGCGAGATTCCCGAATGTGTAGCAGATCATTGAGAGTGTTCCGGAACCTTGGATACAGGTTTTGCAGGCCCCTCTCCGGGCTTATGAGGGACATTGGGTTAGAAAGGTGGATGAGAAGGGGGAGGTGTGGATATGGAAAATTCAACAATTTTTGGATGAGAGGGATGCTGTCGTTATCCCATATATCATGCACGAGGGAGAAGGATGCAGTTCACTAAAGCTGCATCCGGCAGAGGAGGAGGTTTCCAGAATGAAAGGTAGAGTTGCCTCAATAGTTGCGAGTCCACGAAAGGTAACTCAAACCAGGAAGAGCACTCATGCCCAGTTGGGGCGGAATCTGCACTGAAGCTAGCCACCCTGCCACTTCATTATGGTTGGTGTCTAAACATTTCCCTCTCAACTCAGAATCTGCTGGACTACAAACCTAAGATCAGGTACAGAGCACAGATTAAGTCGGGCTCAGTCCCACTTCAAATCAAGAATAAGTGGACCATGGAGGCCAGTGAGAGAGAGTCCTCCCCGACGATGCTAGTGGTGTCTGCTCCTATCAGCACCCCTAGCAGACGTTCGGGTTGTTTTTGGAAAAAAAAAGAAAAAAAAGAGAGAGAGAGAGAGTCCCCAGTGTCTCAGATTACAGCGGCGACCCCCATGAAACTTTGGAAAGAACTTCGCAAAATTCCATCAGCCAAATTTGGTAGCCTGGCTTGGCTGCAATCGCACAGAGCGGTTCCCTCAGCTAAATGGTTGGCCGATAACAGAATGCAAATAGACAGAGGGCGTCGTTCGTCACTCTTCAGGGACGTGAAATCCACAAGGACGCGCTCATTCCACCTGTCCTTGGGGACGAAGTTGAAAAAGAAACGTGAAAACGGCACAAGGAAAATTCCTTGTGGCCCCAGCCAAAATTTCCTTATCCCCAAGGGACCTCGTCCTCGTGAGGTCCCTTGGAGCTCACGGAACCCTGATTCAAGGAGTGGCGAAGACATGCGTCGATGGAGAGTTTTGTTTCTTGGGTGGTCCAGATGTGGTCCAACGGCATTAGCACAGACATCCCCGCCCTCCAACGTCTGCGTAGTCCCTCAACGGCCCCCAATGGCTACTGTTGGCGGTGGGCCTCCATCGAGTGGCGTTGTCGTTTTTGGCCGGCATCATGCGGTCTCCAGCGCTCGAGGAACGTCCGCAACGGTCGGGAAAATATTTTTTTCCCCAGTGGCGCGAAATATTTTTTTTCCCAGTGGCGCCTTCAGTCCGTCCACGGAACGTGACGGAAGACATTCCTGCACTATCGTCGTATTCCCACGCTTGTCGTCACGTGCTGCACATCCAACAAGAGTTACAAGACTCTTTCCTTCTCCGCCGTTGTGCGCTAGACGTCCGACAACAGATGTGGCATTGTTGCCCTCTCCACCGTGCAGTTCATGGCCAACTTGTACCGCAGGCTCCCTCTGTTGCTCCTCGTCACTATGCTGCTTCTGGTGCTCCCTCTGCTGCTCCTCGGCGCTGTGCTGTTTCTCGTCGAAGTAGTCATCCATGGCGTCGGCGGGGACTCGTCGCATTGTCGAAGGTCTTCCCACGTCCCCCCATCCAGCGTTTGATCCACACCTCGGTGTCGCTCGTGGAATGACGCCCCAACCCAATGCATAGCATAGCTCAATGACAGCCTCCAAAGTTGCCACGTAGTCGGGGCCATCATCCGCAGCTTGCATCAGCATCCTTCTTCTACATGCGTGCAACTGCTCCTTCATTCATCTCACCGCCCTCTCCTACTGCCAACGAGGAACAACGGTTGACAAGGCCGCCACCACGGCTTGCATCCTTCTTCCATCCGCAGCTTGCAACAACGAGCAGCTTTCTTCCATCCGCAGCTTGCAACAACGGTTGACAAGGCCGCCACCACGGCTGCCCGCTCAAGCGGTGTCAACAGCGCAAGTCCGCCCTCTCTGTCGTCCTCCATCACCACCACTGCCACAGGGATGACCTCTCTCCGCTGCCGTCTCGATCCTCGCACCCCAGGGACGTAACCCGCTCACCTGTCTAGATCCGCGCACAATGCAAGCAGAGGAGGTCCGAGCGATCACAAGGGAGACTCCCTTTTGTGAGATCTGCTTCATGCACAACCACCTCGGGCTGCAAGGCCGTTGTCTCACGTGAGCTGAAACACTGCAAGAACTCCACGATAGGGAAGTAAGGAGCACAATGGACCCGATACTGCAGTCGAATCCTGAGGTGGAATGGCTGGCATGGTGTGAGCTGGAGCTTCCAATGGATAGGGCAGTGCTGGAGGAGGCAAGGGCGAACGCACGAGAACTGGGGGAGGCGTCGACAACAAGGGAAGCGGAACCGCGACATAGAAGAAGGGCCCGGCGCAGCGGAGGGGTATCGGCGAAACATTCCGTGGGAAGGAAAGGGGGACAGACCCATGCAAAAAGATGAACCATATTGACTGTTTGGTAATGAGCGCAAAAGGAAGGTAGAACAACCATTGGTGGAGGAAAGAGAACCCAAGATGTCGGGGGCAGAGCAGGCTGGCAAAGGAAAAGAAGAAGAGACGGAGGAGGGACACATGGAGACCGATAGAGGATTGGAGGTACAGAAGAATAAGGATGTACGGGGATCAGCAACAGAATGGCCGCAGGTGGGGGCAGAGGGTGTGAAGGGGACAAGGACCAGAATAGCCGCCACCAGTGGAAGCAAGTGGGAGAAGAGAGTAGCAAAAGGGGTATAACAGGAGAAGAAGCAGCTACAGTGCAAGGAGAGGAGGGGAAAGTTGTGGACCTGGGAAGCAGCCTTGGCACTGAAGGAAAGGACACTGGCAAGGGAGAAGGGACTCAAGGGAGGGGTGAAGTAAAAGGGGAGACAGGGGAGCAAATCAACAAGGTGGAGATCGTACAACAGGAGAATCTGTTGGCGGATGGGGGCCAAGGGAAAGAGGGGAGAAAGGACGAGAAGGAAGAAGAAGAGGATGGAGCACGGCGGGCGATGGCAGCAGACATGGAGCCGAGGAAAGGAAGGCAAGACATGCAACAGTAATAGGAGAGCTTGCAACAGTAATGGAGATTCTCCTGCTGCGTGATATGCGGTCTGAGGGACTGCCAGGAACGCCCCCCCCCCCCCCCCCCCCCCCCCCCCCCCCCCCCCCCCCCCCCCCCCCCCCCCCCCCCCCCCGCCCTTCTGGAGATTCCCCTGCCACGTGGCCGCAGGCTGCTGCTAGCAAGCTTCCAACCAGCAGGACAATCCCCGAAGAAGGGCCATGGTTTGGGGGTGGGACGCCCCACAGCAGCCCCCCCTTGCATAGGCGGCTAGTGCCACAAGGGCAAGGCTGATCCTTTCTTCTCGACTCTTCCCCCTCCTTGGCTGTATGAACATGCTTGCCGGTGATAAGTAACCAGACTAGGCCCACCCAGAATAGAAGGTCCAATTAAAATCTTCAATGCTCTACCCGAGGTTCTCTTTCTTGCCTTTTGTTTTCCCTAATCTTCTCAGTATCGTTCAAATTCTGATGGATGTAGCAAATGACAGTTCCAGCTGTTTTCCAATCACCTCTGTGTGTAAATATGCTTGAGTTCTGAGGACAAGGGATGGACGGCACACATGATCAAAGGAGACGCAGGATCGTGGTAGTGCTGGTTGTCCATGGCAAAGGGGCAGCGAAGGACTCGCTTCTCTTGCTCACCCCATGACGAACCACACATTCTCCCATAGCATGCATGTCCTTCATCCATGCCTGGCATTCAAGCGTAAGTAACAGGATTCCACCATGCCCGCCCCCCCTTCTCTCTCTCTCTCTCTCTCTCTCTCTCTCTCTCTCTCTCTCTCTCTCTCTCTCTCTCTCTCTCNCCCCCCGCGGCGTTCTCTCTCTCGCTCTCTCACCGCCCCTCTATCTCTATCTATCTCTCCATCTATCCATTGCACAAACAACAGGCAGCAGCAGTACACATGGTAAACAATTGGTTAATTTTCCAAGGTTTACACCAATTTTATGAACGAGAGTGAGGTTACTTTCTATGATAAGCAGGATAAGCAACTGGAAAACAGCAATCAGAGATCCATTGTTCTCCCATACAAATCCTTTGGAGATTGTGTCCCCTCTCTTACAAAAAAGGCGTCCTGGGACGTTACATATCAAAGCAAAAGAAACACCCCAGTCACTAATGAAGCACTTCACCGACACTCGACCCTTTCGTCGTGCTGCTGGGCGCAGAGAAATCTCGTGGCCACTCGACCCTTCACTGTCGATGAAGGTCTTCACTGACACTCGACCCTTCTGTCATGCTGCTCAGGCAAAGAGGAGTCTCATGACCACTTGACCCTTCACCGTCAATGAATGTCTTCACCGGCACTCGACCCTTCTGTCATGCATCACCTCATCTGAACCTGTCCACGATAGACACAGAGTCAATGCAGGCCCTCCTGCTTCATTGACATTGTCATCGTCCATCCTTATTGATCGGCTCTTGATGAGGACTAGGAGCACAGAATCTAAAGCAGCAATTTGCTTCAATGGAGGAGAGCTAGATGTCACCAGTTCTACGACCATTCCATCGCAGTATGAACCAAACCATAAAGGTGTCCAGAATCCAGATTCATCCTGAAGCAGAGACATGGCCCAGTGTGGTGTGGTCCTTCTGTGCTCTTGTGAGAGAGAAAGAGATTCATTACAAAGATGACAAGATTGCTGCAAGCTTAGTGCAGATGTGAGCATATATCGTCCCTACTCCCGTTTCCGACATCTAAAATCAGGAGCTCTGGTGGCGGGGGTGTTCCCACGACCTGCTCGCTAATAGCTTTCAGCATCATTTAGTGCTGAAAGGCGTTCACTGAAGGAGGGGAAGCAGCCTTGGCCAAAGCAGCTCGGCGCAGTGCCCATGACTCTCTTGGAAGTGTTCTGTTCACAAAGGAGGTGAACATGCTACTCTCGTTTTCGAGCAGTTTGGCTGGAGCATCAAATTCCAGAAGCTCCCCTTTCTCCAGTAAGAGGACTCTGTCGCTGTCGATGATTGTGTGAAGACGGTGAGCAATCGTTAGGACTGTGCAGTGGCGGAAAGATTCCCTGATGGTTGTCTGAATTATTGAGTCTGTTAAGCTGTCGACATTCGATGTTGCCTCATCCAGCACAAGAATACGGGAGTTCCGCAACAGTGCCCGTCCCATGCACAGCAATTGCCTTTGCCCGACGCTGAAGTTCTGCCCAGCCTCAGTCACTTCTGCATCGAGTTTACCGGGCAGTGCACTCACAGCAGCGGCCATGCCAGATTTACGGAGGGCTTCCCAGAGCTGTGAGTCGCTGCCTGCGTCTCCAAGTGGATCCAGGTTCATGCGTACTGTTCCAGAAAAGATAACTGGGTCCTGCGGCACCAAAGCCAATTTGGACCGCAGATCCTTGAGACCGATCTTTGACACATCGATTCCGTCAATAAAAAATTTGCCACGGCACAGCTCCACAATGCGGTACAGAGCCATCGTCAACGTACTCTTTCCACAACCTGTTCTTCCACAGGCCCCGATTTTCTCCCCCCCTTGAACAGTGAACGTCAATCCCTTAAGTACAGGGTCAAGCTCGGGGCGATAGCGCACCCACACATCAACAGCCTCAATTGTGCCACGCTGCGGCCAATCATGAGGTGGTCGGTTCTCGGGAACGATGGCAGGTGCCTCCGTCTCCAGAGATGTGTACTCCAATATTCTCTCAACCGAGTTCATACTCGTTTCCATTTCCGCACTCACCCTGACCATCCAGTTCATCACATTGCTGATGCTGAGAGCTGACGTCAGGGCAAGACCTACAGCACCAGCACCCGTGCCCAGGCCGAGGAAACTGATGAAAGCAACACTGGACACCAAAGCTGCTCCGATGAGTTCGAGACGCACTCCCAACCACCGATTAACTGAAATGCTTGCAAGGTATGCCCGGCTGCTATCGTTCACTTGCGAATAGTTCAACTGCACAAATGCCTCCTGTTTGCAGAACGCGCGGATAGTTGAAAGCCCGCGAATGGTCTCCGCAAAGTGTGAGAATATGGGGCTGTGCAGCAAAGCATCCAACCTTTTCAGTTCACGTGAGGCGTGTAGGTAGTATGCTTCGATCCGCTTGTAAAGCCAAACGAGGAGGATGAGGGGGAGGATGAAGGCACGTGTTATGATTACGATGAGCAATAATGCAAAGATTGTCTGGAAGAAGCACTCCAAGTAGCTCTCGATTGTGTTGGGTAATGCCAGATCCATCTGCTCTGTATCTTTTGTGAACCGGTTGGTCAGACGTCCTGTTGGCTGGGTGTCGAAGAAGGACATCGGCAGGCGCATGCAGTGTTCGAGGAGCTGCATATGCAGGTTCCGAGCTGCATTCCAAACTCCAAAACTGAGAATGACCCATCGCGCCGTGACGAGGACCATTGCCACACCCGCAGTGATTCCGTACACTCGCAAATAATACTGATCAGCGTCTGGATGCTCTTTTATGTTTCCGGACCAGACAGCCAACCATGAGTCATTTGCAAGCTTCACAGATTGTGCAATCACATATGCAACCAGAACCAAAACAGGCACCCAGTACCAGCGACCCCAGGCCCTGATGTATTTCAAGTAGACTTCCCTCTGAACATTTCCTTCTGATCGATGCTCGCTTTTCACCAGCATACCCTTTACCCTCTTCTTCTCCCTGTCGACTTCTTTTCCCACCTGCCTGTTCACCTCCACCTCCCCACTCCCCTGCCTTCGTTCAGACTTCCGGCTATGGGAACGTTCCTTTCCCTTAGCTGTTAAGAGAGGTGCATTCAGCCCCTGCCCTACAGCTTCCTCCTTCTCCTCCTCAACGTCACTGGCATCATCATTGGGAGCTTTGCTGCCAGCGTCCTCTACTCCATCACTCTGACCAGTCCATTTGTCCTTGCCGCTTCCTTGGCCATGGTTCCCATGCCATCCCATGCGGCCTGTGTGATTGGTTGGCATACCTGCAGGTCTATCTTCCCCCTCGTACACAGGATTGGATTGGTTCAGTGAAGTCTGATGGAGATACGTTTGAGAAGACTTTGGGCTCCCAGCAGAGTCGGGAACGTACAGAGCATCCAGACCAGACAGTGACAACTCCGATGTCGATTGCCAGAGCTGATCAGACGTCTGACCCAGTGATGGGTTGGCAGCACTGTCTGCATGACTGCCATCTTCATGTTCCTCAAACATGGCAAAATTGATTCCCCTCTGCCTTAGCTCCAGGTAAGTCCCAACGTCTGTAATCGTCCCTTGTTGCATAACAACAATCGCATCGGCCGCATCGACAAACTGGAGTTGGTGCGTTACTAGGATGCGTGTCTTCTGGGCTAGTAGCCCACAGATGCAATGGTCAAAGAGATGGCGTCCAACATGAGTGTCCACTGCACTCAGCGGGTCGTCAAGAAGGTAGATGTCAGCACTGGCATAAACAGCCCTCGCCAGTGCCACGCGGTGTTTCTGCCCTCCTGACAAGTTTATGCCTTTCTCTCCAATTTCCGCTTGATCTCCTCCTTGAAGCATTCCCAGATCTTCTACCAGAGCACAGGCATTGATGACTTGGTTATACTTTTCCTCGTCTAACTGATTTCCCATCAGAATGTTTTCCTGCACCGTAGCATTCTGAATCCATGGGTCCTGTGCGGTGTACGCCATAGACCCAGACACGGAAACATAGCTACCTAGCGACAGCTTCCGCATCTCGCCGAGTATAGCTGCAAGCAACGATGACTTACCTGCCCCAACCTCGCCAATTACGATGACAAGGTGTCCTGGGGAAACTTGGAGATTGATTTTGGACAAGGTAGGAGGTGCCACATTATCCGATTCCGCTGGATGCCACGTAAAATCAGCTTCAGTGACGGTTATACTTCCTGTTGTGGAATCGAAGGTAGACGACTGCACAGGAATGAGCTCTGGCAGAGCCAAGAACTTCTCCAACCTCCTTGTTGACACGTTTGCCTGGACAAGAGAATTAATCTGGTAGGGGATGGCCACAAGTGGGAACCTGATAAGGTTGAAGAGCGTTAGTGCCGGGAAAGCGACTTCAGCAGTGAGTTGGTTTCCCAGTATCGTGTAGACGCCAAAGCTCATCAGGGAAACGAGTGTCGGACCGAGCCCCCAAGCAAAGCTGCTGAGAACGTCAATGCAGCGGGTTTTCCAAATATGTTGTAGCTCCTTCTCGCGGATCTTGTTTACTTGTTCAATGAATTGCTCCTCTCCGGCGTAAAGTTTCACTGCCTTGATGCCTTGAATGATCTCTGTGATTAGCTTCACTCGCTCATCTGTGTGCGTAATCAGCTTCATGCGCACACTCGACAACCAGCTCATCACAAAGGCCTGTGCTGGAATCATCAATACCAATACTGCGAATCCCGAAACAGCTGGCCATGGACCAATGATGTTCACCAGCATAGCAAGTGCTACAAAAATCTGCAGTGGCCCATCCCATAGATAGTTAATGTAGAGAACTGCGTTTCGAACCTTTTCGACATCGTTGCTTTGCAGATTCATTATTTCCCCAGTGCTGGCCCCTTTGCTTTCTGCCGTTGAGATTCGCGTTGCCTTCTTGTAAACCAAGCACACCATGCTCGCGCGGACCCGTGATGTGATGCGATATAACATTTGATAGTAAATGTGCACGGTAACCGTTTGCGCAATGGATATAGAAAGAAACAAGGCCCCATACGACAGCCCAACGGACCTTGACGTGTTCTTGGCCTGAACAAGGTTGATGATCTTCTGGACCAGTACGGGGCTCGACAGTTGGCAAGCATCACTGAGCAATTTCAAAATGCATGCAGAGAGAAATGGTTTCCAGCAGGTCTTCCAAATGACAGCTGCGATGGAAGGCCTGGGATTCTTTTGTTGCTCATACCACTGCTTCTCCAGACTTCTTGTGACGGTTTGTGTATCATCACCTTTACGCAAGTCCCATAGGTCACAAGTCTCGAGTGTCTTCCTGTTTGCTAGCTTGATGAGATCAGTGACCCACATGAAGAAACATCTTGAAAGGAATGACGCATTGTCCTCCTGACATTCTCTCTGATGACGTACCATTTCTTAGTCGATGAGAGGCGTGCCTTCCGCCCAAGTAGCTGGCTGCCTCTACCAGAGATTCTTAGACCCTTCGCATGAATCTGCACATGCAACAGGGGCAAAGTTCTCCTTCTTACTTGCATTCTCTGTCTCTGGGCATTGATCTTTCTTTCTTTCTTTCGTTTTGTTTTGAATGCTATCTCTGGCCATTGATCTTTGTAATCTACAGCAAGGGGAAAATCCACGTAAGTGGGACCTCAGCTGGTTATATCCTTGTTCATAGTTTTTGTCGTGAACAAAAAAAAGAAAGATTTATGGAAAACCACGTTATTTCCAAAGGGCCTAGTCGACAGTAGTTCAATAGTGTGTTGTTCTTTTTCCACAGAAAACCACTTCACTTCCAGTTGTGCCCTGGTCCCAGGCCCTCTCCTGTATCTGCCACAAAAATGTTCCAAAAGAGAAAATGCAAGAATTACTAATGATGCATGCCTACCTGTTGCATGCTGAGTCTGCACACGGGCCCCATTTTGGGGGCCCGGCAGTTGCTGAGGGCCTCTAGGCCGCACACCCATTCCAGGCATGCCACCTGGACGCCCACAGCCATTCTTTAGGCCTGGCACAATAGCTGGGCCACGCAGGTTCTGTTTTGAGTCAGCAGTTATTTATTTATTTATTTATTTATTGCTGACCTTTGTCTTGTTCTATTTTTGTCTGTTCCAGGGCGACGTTTCGGACTTTGCAGCATGTCCGAACAGACTTGCGGTCTGTTTGGACCAGGGCCACGTTTTAAGCCTCTGGGGAGGCCAGGTTCACGACTGGGCCGTGGGCCAGGTTCGGATTCGTCTGGTAGCGGACATTCCCCGGCTGCATCAGCAGGGAGGCCTGGACATCCAGTAGGGACCCAGGGAGGCTGTTTTTAGGCCAGGACCAGGAGCAGGGCTTTTCCCTGCGATCTGGACCATGGATCGGACCCACGATCGCACGGGTGCCGTGGCCTGAAGCTCCACATGAGACCTCTTGAAATCCGTCCAGGGAAGGAGGGTCTTGCGTGCGTTGCCCGGGGACGTCGTCGCGCTCCGTCGAGACAAAGGGGGCGAGCTTCGAGGCGTAGAACACCGGGTGGACGGGCAAGTGGGCTTGGCCACAATCACGAAGGAGGACCCGTCCAGCTCGTCACCAGGAGCGGAGATGATGCGCCAAGGCCCCGTTCATTTCGGAAGTAGCTTGCAAGGGATGTCTTGCTCAAGGCTAAATTCTGTGGCGGATACCTAAACGAGGTTGCCCTCGTGGCAAGAACAAGGTAGCTGTTGTTGATTGGCTTGTCGGCTCATGCACATCTGCGTCTTGTGCATGTTGTCTCAAGCCTTGACAAGGAGCTCTTGCATCTGGCAAATGAAGGCGTTGTGGTCGTCATTGTCGATCATGCGTGGAATGGAGTCCAATGCAAAGACGGCCGGCGAGCCATGTTCGAACTCGAAGGCGGAGATGCCGAATAGCCGGATGGATAGAGGAGTTGTAGGCCAACTCGATGTCCATAAGTCGCTCTACCCGATCCTTTTGGTCCGGGCAGATGAGTGTGCGAAGAAGCACTTGCGCCGTTTGAGGTGCTCTCTCCGTTTGGCCATCAATTTGCAGGTGTCGTGCAAAACTCGGCTTAAGGGCCCGTCGCTTGATGAGTCAGTCCAAAAGTCGGACATAAACTGAGTGTCACGGTCGCATACGATCTCCTTAGGGAAACCTTTGGTACGTATCCAACTGGCGTAGAAGACCTCGGCTAACTCAGGTGCCTTGGCGTGATAGCGACCAGGTTAAAACATAGCGAACTTGGTGAGATGGTCAACAACCAAAAGGATGGCATCATAGTCGGACTTATGCTTGGGAAAAGGTCTGCTGATGTACATGATGATTGCATTGACACTGGTACCGGTCGCAACTCCCTGAAAAGACAATGGTTGCGTGGCTTGTAACGACGTCAAACCTCGCAATAGTGAGTGACGTCATCGATGAGGTCGGGCCAATAGAAGCATTGGCGAAGTCGACCTGTCGTGCGGTTGACGACGAAGTGCCTCGCGGCGAGAGCATCGTGGAGTTCACCAAGAAGTCGCGGTCGCAAATGCTGATCATTCGGCACACAAAGAATATCCTCCCCCCACAAGCGAACAACCAAGTACCCATCTTGGATCTGATAGTCCGACGGCGGTGGGTCTAGAGACGAGCATTGTCCACAAGTGTCCCGAAAGATGGGGTCGGCTTTGTAGCCACAAATAAACTGGTCCCACGGATGTAATCGATGAGGAAGTCAAATTGGTTGATGTGGGCCTTCCAGACAATGTAAAAATTTCGGCAACAGGCAACACTTCCCCTAGAAAAGTGAACTCCAAAAATTAATTACAGACTTATACAGAGCCAGATTCGAAAAGCGAAGTACAACTATACTTAGGATTAAATCCTCACACTTGACTTGCTTTTCATATCTAGAGATAACCCTCGTGATGCTCTCTTTGAGAAGGTATCATTGGCTAACACTAGCTCAACAAGGCCACCCTATTGCATCCCAAGCTCCCCCCCACTAACACCACTCTACATGTTGCTCCAACACTCGACAAGCATCTAAGCAACTAAGCTATCCAAAGATGCCCCAAGGAGTGGCAAATCCGCATAAGGCTCATATCTCTAAGCCCCTTCCTCTACCTCCTGCCTCTAATGCTGCTAATCAGACAGTCCCCCTGTTGCTGCATCAAGTCATAGTGCAGGAAGTTCTACAACTGCTGCAGCCCCAAGATCAAAACTAGCAGAAGCTGGTCCCAGCTAGAGTAGTCTTTATGTGGACAAGACAAGAAGGTCGTTCAGATACCGTCAAAGTACAACGGCAAGGACAACATTGAGTCTTGGATCAGCAACATGCGATCCTACTTTGAGGTTCTGAATGCACAATTAGTGACCCAGTCCTTAATCATGGGGACAAATGTGGAACCCGTCGTATAGGGCTTTCTTGAAGTCCGAGTTATACATGCAAGTTATGACAGAATTAATATGACTCAATGGCTCAAAGCCACGTCGGTTGCCACACTCGAGGGGAGTTTAATTAAACCACCAATACTTCGTAGAGTCATGCCCGTTAACGTGCCACGATTTTAGGAAACGTACGGGCTACTACAGGAGCGCCCAAATTCATCCGACTAGAAATGTCTCTACTCTATTTTTTTCCGCGGCCCATAGTTGGGCCAAGTACTGGTGGTTTAAACAATATGCAGCTAGAATAATGCTTAAGCCACGAGTACTTGGCCCAACTACCAGTTGTGGAAAACATAGAGTAGAAATGTTTTCAGCTGGATGAACATGGGCGCTCCTGTAGTCGCCCATACGTTTCCTGAAATTGTGGTTTGTAAACGGGCACGACTTTAGGAAGTACTGGTGGTTTAAGCTTGACAATCTCAAGCGCAACAAGTGGTTGAACTCCATGTACAACCTTCAATTGTATGTTAGCAAACGTTTTGCTACTCCTGGGTTGGGAATGAGTGCACAGGCATGTTTGGATGTTGTGAAAGGTGTGGTTCCAACTGCTTACACCAATCGCCTAGGCTACAGGCTCATTGATTATAAGGACTCACTCTCCCTTATACAGGATGTAGTCAGCCCTGAGGCACAAGACCTCGTTTCCACAACAAGCAGCAACAAGAAGGTCATTGACCGTAGACAGGTTGGGCGCAGCAACTGATCTGCTAAGCACGACCTGTTAGGGGCCAATGAAGACGCCTATGCAGATGAACCTACTCTTGGTGACGACCAAGAGAAAGATGTTGATACAGTCTGTTCCTCATCAGCCCATGAGTTTGAAATGATGAATGAAGATGAAAAGTTGAACGCCTTTACAAAGTCTATCAAAAGTAACAAAGGATCAAATTGAAACTCAATGAAGAACACGATTCAACTCCCCAAAGGAGCCAAAATACCATCGAGTCCGAAGGATGCGGTAACCAAACCTTGGTTGCACCTCCCCATGAGTGAGGCTGATTGGACAAATAGGCTCAAGAGGAAGGTTTGTCTAAATTGCCAAAAATTGGGACATGCAGTCCAACTGTGTGTCCGAAAATCGATTCAACGCGCGTTGAATCCGCGTTGAATCCCCGTTGAAAAGCCCATTAGACGGGTTACAACGAGACCCGCAATGATTTTTTTCGCGGGCTAAAAATAATTAAAATAAATAAATAAAAAATAAAGGGTTGTAGATCTTTTTAGCTCTACAACCTCATATTTTTATTTTTATTTTTTGAGCTCTTACTATATTTTTAAAAAATAAAAAACGTAAAGACAATGGGGAAAAAAAAAAACAAGTTACAAAAAAATAAATAAAAAAAATGCATCGTCGACAAGACCCACAAACCATTAGAAAAAAAAAGCACGAAGACAAAACCAGATGTCCAAAATCTGTCTCTTATACACATCTAGATGTGTATAAAAGACAGGCATGCGCATGCACACGCATGCACATGATGCGGCACATCACCAAAAAAAAAAAAAAAAAAAAAAAATGAAAGGAGTTTTTTTTTTTTTGTTACACAGAGATATTTTTAGGGCTAAAAAAAAAACCAGAAAAACAAGCTAAAAATATAGGGTTATAAACATTTCAAAGATGTACAACAACATTTTTTTATTTTTTTTTTACTTCATGTATTTAAAAAAAAAACATAAAAGCAAATAAAAAAGGAAAAATAAACACGCATGCACACACAGAGACACACAACACACACAAACTATGACAAACACACATAAACAAACACACATAAACACACACACATATGCACACACACACACACACACACGCCAACAATCATGCACACACACACACACACACACACTTACAAACACACATACACAAACACACGCGCATACATACATATTCATGCACATACACACTCTCACACGCAGGCACACACATACACACATGCGCGCACACAACACACCGGGGGCGAGGTCCCACCAGGATAGAAACGAGTTTGTGGGGCAGTTGAGTGACCAAAATCCTGCTGTGCAGTACCCGTGATCCCACAGTCAGCATTTTAC